TTTGCTTTCTCCACCAGCTCTGGGAATCTCCTGATAGAGAAAGAAACCACCATGAGTTTTATCCCAGCCCTCAAGCCCTCCTCAGACTTCCTACAAAGTCACTGTTCTGAAGATGTACCTGTGTAGAAACGAGATAAGTGTTCAAATCGTACGGCGTAATCATGTACTGTCATATTGCCCTGTCTCAGACTCAGGAACTTAGTCTCTTTCTGAAATCTAACACTGTAAGGGAAGTATTTCTCCAGAAATCTCTCACGGAAGGTTTCCCAATTACACACCTCCCCATGTGTAATCATCATCCTATGAGTCCCTAACCACCAGAACTCAGCCTCATCCACTAGTAAATATTTCTCGAATGTCAATTTCGTGTCTTCCGGGCATGAGGTAGCCTAAAAAATCTTCTCCACTTCACGTAGCCACTTCTCTGCTGCATCTGGACCCAAATCTCCCCCAAAACAAGGCGGATTATGCCTCATGAACTCAGTCAGCCCCATCTGCTCTGACTGGTGGAATTCAGCAGAGGATGATGCCATAGTTGGCCTCCACTGCGGGTAGGTAGCCTGCTACTGAATGGCAACTGCCAACATTTTCATTGCCCTGGCTAGGGCATCTACACTTGGCGGAGTAGGAGTAGGAGGTCGCGGTGCCATCCTATATCAAACACAATCATAAATACAGAGCAAACATTCACACACACTCACATATCAGAGCACAACAGACTTATCATAGTGTCACTACCCATCCCCACAGATTTACAAGGATACTATCGCTTTGATACCACTATTGTAACGACCCTAGAAATCGTTACTATTATGATGCCTTCGCAAAATAGTAAACAAGTAAATAACGACATCTATCTTACATTATATTACTGTAATTGTAACATAGATTAAAATTCCGGTTCATTAATGGAACCTCAAAACATAGTAACATAATTTATTTATATATTATACATATAAAAGTAACTCCCACAAAGCTATTCCACTGAACTATCCCTATTATCCAGTAGTCACATCTCCACCTCTCAACTCCTGATCTGCTCCCACATAAAAGTGATCATCGCAGTCCCATCCACATGGAAAAATAGGGATAATTATTAAATCATTCGATATAATAAAACAAATATAGAAGTAATAATTATATATTATGATCAATTACAAAATTATCAACACACTAAGACACCTTCCGGAAGTATACCCTAACTATGCCCGAACTTAGAGGCTATCATCTGTGGGCACATTGTGATCGGCACTCGCAGTACCATTCTGACCACCCTCCACATAAAGTAGGATTATTGGCGCCCTTCATCACTTATACTGGAGTACCCCTTCGAGGGCACCACCAGTCATCCCCCCATCAACTTTTCACCACCTGATCTCGTAGTCTACCTGACCCAACCAATCAACGAAGTCTGGTAGACTAATGTACTTTGTACCACCCGGGTACCATTCAAACACAACAAAAATAATTCACATATGCCGAATTCTGGACCACCTGTCCTCACAGCTTATTTGGGTCAATAAATAATAGTATTTGATTGATTCTGGACACCAACCCTCCGGCTTAGTCAAGCCAATATAGAACGTCTCATGACTAATTCTGGGCATCAACCCTCAAGCTCAGTCTGACCCACACATATCACAACACACTCGCTGATTCTTTAAAGCTGCTACTTTCATTCTATATTTTATATATATATATATATATATATATATATATATATATATATATTTTCGAAATTATTTCCAAAATTATTTCAGAAATCATTTCGAAATCATTAAATTACTATTTTACCCTTAATCTTTTATTAAAATTCCATGTATATCCCTAAATGACTATTTTACCCTTGGATATTTTTGAAAATTCCTTCCATGTCCCAAAAATGACTATTTTGCCCTTAGATATTTTCGAAAATTCCTTCCATGTCCCAAAAATGACTATTTTACCCTTGAACATTTTTGAAAATTCCTTCCATGTCCCTTTCTTCTTCCTCGCGTCCGTAACGAGTATAAAATTTAGCAGATTTTAGCAGATTTCAAATTACTCAGTTTTAGACAACCAAACTAGTCCTAAATTCAAATTAAACATGACTTATATCTAATTTAAGTTGAAAGCAACAATTTTATCATATAATTCATCATTAATTTCAAGAATTTCAACAAAATTTCAAGTTTTGCAAAACATGAGAAATCTTCAAAATCAATCATTCTAATGTTCAGATTTCCACTCCTATTCCTTATTCACAGAGTACTCAACAATTCAGTCTCATATATTGAATGAATTAAACTTCCCCTTACCTTGTATTATATTTCTACCGAAGCGTTCCCACTTAATTCAAACTATCTCCCGTTTCACCAGATATTGCACAAGTAGAGTATCGTTGCTTAAAATTTAGACAAAAGAAGAAGAAAGATGAGAGGGAAATTTAGATTCTATCTCCTCCCCCATTTCTGTATGCACATATATAAGAAAAATTTCACTGTGCATGAAGAAAACTTCGTTATGAAGTTTTCTTGCACAATAATATTATTATAATAAAAAAAAGCATACGTCACATATAAGAGTTTATAAGGTGAATAATATATGATATTATCATAATACATGAACCAGACTTGTTCCTTGAAAAAAAAAAAAAGTTTACCATTGAAAAAAATAATGACTAATCTCATTTATAACATTAATTTAAGATGTCTCTCCTTTAAATTCATTTTATTGTAATGTAACATCCTGCATTCATTTAAGATGTTATTGACCCAAGACATTATTGAATAAATAATGTTATGATACATCAGCTACATGAATAATGTATCTCATAGTATTTTATATTATATTCACACTCATTTTACAAACAATTATTATATAAATATGATGAACCCTAATTTAATTTACATATAAAAAAAATAATCATTGTAATATTCACATTGAAATGTCAAATATATACTGTATTTCAAATAATTAACACCACTGTTTATTTTTGGTTCTTGGTTCTGTTATTATGTTTTTTTTATTATTATTATAAATTGTAATGTTTTTGTAAATTTTGTATGATATTTTAATAATTGGGAGTAATGGATTTTGGGTACCAATTTTTGTTAGAATATTATTATACCATATGCCTAGCATATTAGTTGTTATACATATAAACGCATCAACGTTTTACTAATTAAGTGAAACAACATTTATTTTCAGTTGAATTTTCAATTAATTATTATTTTTTTCAGCAGAACAATCTTATTTTTTTCTTAAGAGGTATTAATGCATTTATCAACGACTGGGGTTGAAAATGTTCAAAAAAACACTACTACAAAATATACTTTCTACGTCGTCATTTAACGTCGGTTATAGCTGAGACGACGTAGAAAGTACTTTCCACGTCGGTTCCAGATGAACCGACGTTGAAAGTTGAATATTAAACACATTCTACGTCGGTTCTTTTTTTTTTTTTTTTACTTATTGACACTTTCCACGTCGGTTCCCATATGAACCGACGTGAAAGTTGAATATTAAACACATTCTACGTCGGTTTTTTTTTTTTTTTTTTACTTATTGACACTTTCCACGTCGGTTCCCATATGAACCGACGTGGAAAGTATTTTTTTTTTATTTTTTTCACCCAAAAATTTGAAAAGTGTCACTGCCAGGGTTCGAACTCGGGATTTTAGAATTGGAAACTAATACTCTAACCACTAAACTATTATAATTTCTTGATAATAATTTACAAATAAATTATATTTATATACAAATAAATATATATCCATGTAAATATATATTTATTTGTATATATTTTCTGGAAAGTATTTTTATTTTTTTTTCGATCAAAAATTCACTTAAGTTAATGAATTGTCATCGACAGACATTTGAACCCAGTATTTTAGGGTTGTAAGTTAATATCCCAACCACTAAACTACTATAATTTTTTGATAATAACTTACAAATAAATTATATTGGTATTTTTTGACCGAGGGTGAAAGTGTGATTGACTCTCGCTTGAGTGAAAATATGTTAAAGCTCACGGAAAATCATTCACTCAAGTCTCGCTTGAGCGAAAATTGGTATTTTTCGCTTGAGAGCGAATAACGCGTTTCCCAAATTTATTTTATATTATTATATAAATAAAATTTTAAAGATTATATTATGTCATTAAATTACAAACTCATATAAAGATACCTGCTCACAAATTTAGCATCAAATTTTGAAAACTTACTCGACACACACTTTCACTTTCGAGTGTGCCCTCACATTCAACATATAAATATATAACTATATAAATATATCAAAATATATAAATATATTTGTATTTATATATTTATATATTTACACGGATATATATTTATTTGTATATAAATATAATTTATTTGTAAGTTATTATCAAAAAATTCCAGTAGTTTAGTGGTTGGAGTATCGACCTCCAACTCTAAAGTACTTAGGTTCGAATCCTGCCAATGACAATTCTCTTAAAAAATTAATAAACTTCTAAAAAATATAATATAAAGAGATGGAGGACTTCTAAATAAATAAAAATTATTAATTTAAAAAATTATACTTTCAACGTCGGTTCCTATTAGAGCAGAGCGTTGAAAGCCTTCCGAAACCGACGTTGAAGGCTTTATTTGTAGTAGTGAAAATTCGGACAACTTACAATTTTTTTTATGTCAATGAATTATGTCTTGTCTTTTAAAAATTTTAATATTTATTTAAAATATTAATAGAAATAGACAATTGATACAAATATTTTTTTATAATTTTTTTTCAAATTTAATAAGATGATACAATAATATCATTAAAATTTATTATTATATCCAAAGTATTATCTATTTTAAAAGAATAATTTTATCTTTAAAAAAAGAAATACATCTATAAACTATTATTATCAACCTCAACTCTTCAATTATATAAGACCAACAAACATGTTAAAAGATATAAAACCAAAAAATACAGTAAAGAAAAAAACACAAAATCATTTATTTTTTTTTTTGTATATTTAGATAATGATACTCCAATTATAAAATAGAACATGAATTTGGATTCTCATCACTGAAGAGTTGTGGTGCATAGACATAGTGAATAATATAAGGAACATTGTCCTTAATCTTAGCCTCCTCTTTGGGGTGCCCTTCACGAGTCTCTATTATTTTGGTTGTCTCACCACCTTTTTCCTTGGTTGATTCACCAGATTTTTTAGCAGTTTCATCACCATCTTTTTTCTTGGCCGATTCACCAGAACTTTTAGCAGTTTCATCACCATCCTTTATCTTGGCTGATTCACCAGAACTCTTACCACTTCCATCACCATCTTTTTTCTTGGCTGATTCACCAGAAACTTTACCACTATCATCACCATCTTTTTTCTTGGTTGATTCACCATGATCCTTCTCTTTGGTGGTTACAGAAGTTTTCCCTTCCTCTGTGCCCTTCTTCTCTTCCTTCTTCACCTCCTTTATGGAAACAATCTCAGCATTCTTGTGCACCCTTTTTCTCAGAAATGATATCAATTTCTCCACTTCAATGGTGCCTTCCACTGTAACATTTTGAGCTTTCTGGTCCGTTTTCACATTGAAAATACCTTCATTAATCAAATCAAAAACCTTAAAATGCTTGTTTGGTTGGTTACATGGATTGATTCAAATGTTATATTATAATCATTATAATAATAATAATTAATCCATGACTATGAGTTGGGTATGTATGAATGTACCTTTGTGCTTTATTAATCTAGATTCTAGGTCAACCTCACATTTGTCACAATGCATGTGAACCTTCACCGAGATGATGCGGATAATTGGCTTCAAACCACACACATGAAATATAATTATAATTAATTTATTTGCCAAATACTCCCAAAATATTTCAACTATGCATTGAATGGTAGATTTGTTTTACTATTCCTTTTATTAATCAGTTTTTGTCTCATTAACTTCTACTAAGATTTTAAAACAATTTAACTACATTGTATTATTGAATGGTAGATTCGTTTAACTGCTCCTTTTATTAGTGGAATTTTTTGTTTCAATAACTTCTACTAAGATTTTAAATTACAAGTCAATTATATTGAGTAGTGTAATTTTTTACATTATCATAACCTTTTCAAACAACCACCTCAATAAATTACATCTAAGATGCTTTATTTCTTCATTGCATATGTCATAATACTTATTTTAAATACATAAAAAGGAAATTTTGAAAAAAATATTTATTATGAAAATATTATATAAAATTAATTTAATCAATAAATAATTATTTTAACTAATAAATAATAAATAAAGTAATGGAGCATACACATTTAAATTATTTTATGTAAAAATGCTAAGAATTATTTTAATTCATAACAATAATTTTATATGTCATTTATCAAAGTTTAAATTGATAAAAATATTTCCGAAAACCCCTACCTTGTATTGAATATGATAGCACAATATATACATGAAATACGAAACATTCTAGGCTATAATTACGCTAACCATTATAGTCGGTATCCTAAATTTGTCTATTAACGAGATATGAAATTAATGTGCATCGCTGTCATGCCAAGCTAAATATGGAAAAAAATAATCATGTAGAATCATGTCATGATACGGTATTTGTAATCGTATATTCTATGTATATTCTATGTTTATCACCCTCCCTCAAGATGGAGCATGAATGTTATGAATGCCCAACTTGCCTAAAAAAGAACCAAATTTAGTGGCGCCAAGAGATTTGGTGAAGAGATCAGCCAGTTGATGATGAGTGGACACATAGGAGGGTTGGATATGATTGTGTTGTATTTCATCACGAATAAGATGACAATCCACTTCAATATGTTTTGTCCGTTCATGAAACACAGGATTCTTGGCAATGTGAAGGGCAGCTTGGTTGTCACAGTAGAGAGTCATAGGGTCGGTGTGAGTAATGTCTAGGCTCGAAAGAAGGCCTTGAAGCCATTTCAACTCACATGTCGTGTTGGCCATAGAACGATATTACGCCTCGGCGGATGATCGAGCAAACGTATGTTGCTTCTTGGTTTTCCAGGAAACGGGGGATTGACCAAGAAAAATAAACCAACCTAGGTGAGAGATCTTCGAGTGAGAGGACAACTTGCCCGAGTCCAGAGTCACACCAACCATAAAGACGAAGGTCACTCTCTCTTTTTAAAAGCACACCCCGACCGGGCTGCCCTTTAAATAGCGTACCACGCGAGTGCGGCCGTCGATGCTCCTGACGCGGTTGGTGCATGAATTGAGATAGGACATGAACAACGTAAGATAATTCGGGTCGTGTAAAACACAAGTAAATAAGGCGACCAGACGAGACGTCGATATTGACTCGGGTCGGAAAGTAGTTCGCCATCGACCAATGCTAAACGATGATTTTCTTCGATTGGCGTGGACACGGGTTTCCCTCCAAGCAATCCTGCTTCGGCTATGATGTCCAACGCATACTTCCGTTGACACAAGAAAATTCCTGTAGGAGATCCGGCAACCTCCACCCCAAGAAAGTATTTTAATTTCCCTAAGTCCTTCATATGAAAACATTGATGAAGATAATCTTTGAATTGCGCAATGTCTTCATGATGATTGCCGAGCAATGACTAGGTCATCCACGTAAACTAACACAACCGATTCGACATCTCCTTTGCGAAAGATGAACAAGGAGTGATCAGACGAAGAACGTTGAAATCCATATTGAACAAGAGCGAGTTGAGAGCTTGACAAACCAACACGAGGAGCTTGACGAAGACCATAAAGGGACTTGCGGAGACGACACACCATACCCTTTTGAGACACCAAGAACCACTGGCGGCATTTTCATGTACACAGACTTCCTCAAGATCGCCGTGCGAGAAAAGCATTATGGACATCCATTTGATGGAGTTCCCAGTCTTTAGGCGCTGCCACTTGCCCAACACTTGTCCAGAATGGTGACCATCTTTGCCCTTAGGGCAAAGGTCTCGTCATAGTCAATCCCCTCGACTTGGTGATTTCCCAAGACAACTAATCGGGCTTTGAAGCGTTCAACGCTCCCATCGGAATGATATTTGATTTTATAAATCCACTTGCAACCCGGAGGCTTCTTCCCTGCTAGGTAGAGGAGTAATGTCCCATGTTTCATTACTTTGGAGGGCACGAATTTCACTAGCCATGGCATCTCTCCATCTAACATCCCGAACGGCTTCAAAGAAATGCACGGGTTCTTGCTCTGCATGAAGGAGCGCAAGAAAGGTTCGGTGGGGGAAGGAGAATTTAGCACAATTTAAGTACTTTGTCAAGCGTAAGGCATACCCGAGGAAGCTTGAATGTGGAGTGCGAATTGAGGGACCAGAGTTGTAAAGTGGTGTTAATGATATAATCACGAAGCTTCACGAGATGGCTTTCGTACTCGAAGACCTTTCCCCAGGGATGCGGGGACGGTATGCTCCTCGGGAACCTCTAGTTCTGTCATCATAGAGTCGGTTGTTCCGGTGGGAGAACGATCCGGGTGGGAGGCTCTTGTTCATGGCATTCGGCGTGACCCTCCACGAACTCGGTTGTGGGCACATCTTCGTTGTGGGGTTAACGTCATCGGTCTCCACAACGTGTTACTGCATTGTTCATTGTACCAAGTCCGGGCAATGCTTCCTCGACAATGCCAACATCAACAGTAGGCAATCCTACCTCTCGAATGTCTACTGTGGGCAAGAGAGGCAAACGGGAATTCATGTTCTACAAACTTAACATCTCTCGAAGTCCAGAAGACTTCTCTTTCCAGATCAAACAATTTCCAGCCCTTTTGTCCGATTGAATATCCAACAAATACATTCTTGCGACTTCTACTTGCAAATTTGTCACCTTTCCTATCTTGGTTATGTGCATAACACAAGCATCCAAATACCCGTAGATGGTCATAAGTGGGTGGCTTCCCATTCAATATTTCATATGGAGTTTTTCCATGGAGAACGGTTGAGGGTGTACGATTGATCAAGTATCCTGCGGTCAAAATGCATTCTCCCCAGAATTGAAGTGGAAGTTCTCCCTGAAATCGTAGAGCACGAGCTACATTTAGGATGTGTCGATGTTTTCGTTCGGCTCTCCCATTTTGCTGAGGTGTTCCAGTGCATGAGGTTTGATGGAGTATCCCATGTTGCTGAAAATATCGTTGAAGACACATAAACTCAGTTCCTGCTACTTCTGGTTTTTCGGTTGAACCAACGTTATCTGCACCAGTGTGCGCCATATTGACGCGAGTCGTTCCTCCTTTCCCTCGGAAGGTTCCTGTTCTTTGTTGATTTTTTTCATCGTTTCTATCGGTTCGTGGTCTCTCTCCCCACCATTCTGGGTAACCAATGATCTCGAAGCAATTGCCTTTGTCATGTCCCTTCCTTCCACACTGCATGCAAACAACTGATTTTTCTTTCGCTTCATTGCGCAACTTGTTCCTGGTTTCCGCTCGCATAGTCATTCCCACGATCATTCCTCGCTCTTCTTTAGACCTGGTGATTGTTCTCACCCTTTCTTCTTGCACCATGGTGGCATACACCCGATTCAACGAGGGTAATGGATGCTGTTGCCAAAACATTTGACCGTGCAGTTCCATAGCCCTCATCATCTAGCCCAATCAAGAGCTGATGAATTTTTTCTTCTTCTCTTCGTTTCTCAAGTTGCGTCATAATATTACAATTGCATCCCCCACATCTACACTTGTGGGATTTGCTCGTAATTTGCCAGTTCATCCCACAACGTTTTCAACTTCCCATAATAGGAAACCATAGTCATTCCTTGTTGTTTGCATTACTGCCAACTCGACTTTAGGCTACTTGGATTCTTGGTCAGTTCACGATCGAGAATCGTTCCTTGATGTCATCCCATAGGTCCTTTGCGTTTTCCATGTATGCAACGGTGGAACGCAAACTAGGTTCTATAGTGTTTAGTATCCAAGATACAAGCATCGATTGAATTGTCCACCAATCTTCTATCTCGGATGTGTCTTCTTCGGGTTCCTTATGAGTTCCATCTATGAAACCCCATTTCCTTCGAGCCGCGAGAGATATCTTCACGGCCCTTGCCCATTCCTCGTAATTCTCTCCTCGTAATTGTACCTGTGTAATTACATTTCCAGGATTATCACTGGCACTCAGATCGTATGACGATGGTGTTTTCTTCACCGCCTCTCCTTTCTCTGCCATTTTAGAAGTACGACTGTGTTCTCGGGCTGTTGGATATCAGAGTTTGGTTCGATCCTGGGACCTGTGGGTTATGGGCCCTGTGACGAAGGTCAGGTGGGCCGAGTCACAATTGAATCGTGGCGCTTTGGCTGTTAAAGTAAAAAGAGTTGCGCTCTGACTAAAGGCTATAGCTTTTGGCCTAGTGGTAAGCGCTCGATCCTAACAATTGGTATCAGAGCCAAGGTCACGAGTTCGATTCCTGGTGGACAATTGTTGAGGGGGAGATTGTTGCGGGTTGCACAATTGTCCGATGGCGGAGGCGGGTGGGCCAAGTCACAATCCAAGAGTGGGATACCTTGTAGGACAATTGCTGAGGGGAGATTGTTGCGGGTAGCATCAATTGTCACTGTGACGAAGGTCGAGTGGGCGAGTCACGATTGAATCGTGGCGCTTTAGTTCGTTAAAGTAAAAAGAGTTGCGCTACGACTAAAGGCTATAGCTTTTGGCCTAGTGGTAAGCGCTCGATCCTAACATAAATATAAATAATATTAATTATATAATTTAATTATCACTCACAAATACAAATATTAATTATAAAATTTATTTATTAATCACAAATATGTTATATAAAGTTTAAAAGCCCACTAAAAAATACAAATTTTTGAAAATAACTTTTTGTATTAGTCACATATGTTTGTTTACTGTTTATTATTATTTTTAAATAGTTTTTAAAAATTAAAAAAAAATTGACAACTGTTTTTGTGTTTTTTTGTTTTCTAGTTTTTAAAAATTGATGAAAGGTATTTTGGGATTTGTTTGATTTAATTTTATTTTTTAGTTTTTTTTTAAGTGTTAGAGATTAATTTAAAAAAAATTAAAAAACAATTTATTTGATAAATCTACTTTTAAAAACTATTTTACTTGAAAGAATAGATAATCATAAAAAATCGTGACAAAAATTATAAAATGAATTTGATAGTTTTATAATAATGAAAATAAGAGATTTAATATAATTATATTAAATAAAACGTTGATACCTATTTATAAAAATAAAAAACTATAACACAAAATATATTTTATTAATTTTAGTATTTTAATTTTTTAAAATTAAAAAACTGAAAACTGTTTTTAATGACAGTAAACAAACAAGCTCTATTTTATACTTTTTTTATTTGTATTAATAGGTATCAATATCTTATTTAATAATTACATTAAATTACTCATTTATATTACTATAAATTTATCAAAATCATTTTTCAAATTTTATTTTAACTTTTTATAATTATTGATGTCATACTCTTTCATTTAAAATAATTTTTAAAAATAAAATTATCAAACAGCTTTTTTTTCAATTTATTTTAAAAAACAGTTTTTTTTTTAAATTGATTCTAAAAACAGTTTTTAGAACTATAAAACAAAACTAAATTAAACAATTCCTAAGAATTATAAATATTTTTAAATTTCAAAATATGTAACTGTATTATTCACGCATTGTAGTGATATTTGGCATGCACGTAGTTAAATTTAAAAAATTAAAAACGCTTAATTTTTTTTAAAATTTTCTAAAATAAATTAAGATTTCATAAAGAAACAGGATTTTAAAAGTATTTAGTAGAGAATAGGTGAAGCATCTAACTGGAAATAGAAATGACACTTTTTTTTATTATTGTCTTTCGAAAATATACGTACACTCTGCGAGTTGTAAAAAAGAAATCTCTATACTAATTTAATTAAGACTAGTTTTTTCAAATTTTATTTTATGAAAATATTTGTTGTTCTAAAATTTATCATAAAAAACAAAGTTCAACTTAAAGAAAAATATAAAAAAAATAAAACTATGCAAATAAATTCTTAATAAAAAAAAGAATTATATCTTAGCCTTATAGTATTTCGGTATATTTATAAGGTTTTTATATTATCTGGAATCAAGATTAAGAATAATTTATATATAAAGATAAAAATTAATTATAAATGAAGTTATCATGAAAATCGTTTAAAGGAAGATGAGTATTATTCTAATATATTTTTTCTAACCTCTTTAATTGGACATAACTAACATGTAGGTTAGACGAGTAGATATTTAGATAATATGATTATTGGTTGGACCAGTAGATGTTTAGATACATACTATTTTCACACAAATTTAAAATTCCTTTTCATACAACAAAAATAAAATAATAAGCCTTAACCTTATCTCTAAACTTCCATCAAATAATCAAATACTTATAATAAAAGTAATGTATTTAGGACTATATTACTTTGACTTTGGAATATGTCTTTATTCTCTTATGTCTCTCTCTCTATTTCCACACTCAAACCTTCAAAACCCCTTTCGCTAAACATGGAGTTTTCAAACCCTAAATAATTATTTCTATTTGTTTTCTTCTATGTGAAGGTTTCTTTTTGGTCCACAATCAACTATAGTTTAAACATACCCACCCTTACATAAAAAAAAAAATGATTGTGAACATCGAACATATTATAATTTTACCAAGTAAAAACTATTATATAATTTTATATAGTCTATAGAAAAAGTCTTTAGTGAAATTTTCACACATAGAAGCATTCATTTAGGATAATTTTATATAAGATATCAAGAAAGTATATTTGAACCGATCAAATTTTATTAGTTGAATTGATGTAGATTTTTTATTTTTTTTACAATATTTAAACTAAATCAATTTGATCAAGAATTAGTGAAACCGATTCGGATCAATGGATTTTTGTTACACAAGTAACCTAAATTTATGTTTGAAAAATAATATGATGTAATTGTTGTTAAAATTATGTATAAAAATAAAATTCTATGATACTCATTTTAAAAAAATACAAATTATTTGTGTTTGGTGAAAAGAGACAAAAAAATATATTAATAATATTTAACATCTTCAGTTTGGTTTGGGTTTGTAAACTACCAACCTAATGTCCAACTAATTACAATTTAATTTAAGTTGTTTAATTTGAACCTAATTAATTTAAAACACTAAATCAATTTAATTTTCGAGTTGATTAAATTAATTTAAGCCAACACCCACATTCGTATTATACAATTATCTTATAAAATTAACTTTTTTCTGTTATAAAATTCTTTTTCTTCACATTATTAAAATAAATGAAACAATTAGGCATAATTTAAAATAAGAAAAATAGTATTATTTTAAATTTATATTACATTTGTAATCTGACAAAAATATTTAATATTTCTGTCATTTTGTTGAATAATGGGCCGAAAGCCCAAATGATTCGTCCCAAAACCAATGCAAAAACAGTAATCAAAGAAATGCTCAATAACGAAATTAAAAAAAAAAAACTTACATGTAATAATATAAGTATTGTTGATATTATTTTTCAAATATACACATTTTATCTTAATATTATGTGATGATATTTAATAAGATTATGTATTATTAGTGGAAACACATGTATATATTTTTATTATTTTTTATTTTAATTTATTAGAATTTAATATATATATATATATATATATATATATATATTAATTTTTAAATATAAATATTTATTTCAGAAATTGTGAATAATTATAGACAAATAAAGGTGTTAGAGAATTTTAAAAAGACAAAAAAACTAAAAAGATCATGTAAATAAGAAAATAAGGAAGAAATAATATTTTTTATTATTTTAAATTTGAGTGGAAAAAAATCAGAAAAGATATAATTAAAAAGAAATAAAAAAAATGTTAATATAAATATAGATTATATTTTATTTCTTCAAAAAGCAATTACTAAAGATAATTTTCTTAGTATATTGTTATAAATAATAATAATAATATTATTATTATTATTATTATTATTATTATTATCAAGGTAAAACTTTAATTATGATTAAAAAATATATAAAAGCAACAAAAGTAGCGTAGTATGATGAAAGAAAGAAAAACTTACATCTTTGATTTCGTTTGGTTTTTTATCTGCTATGGTGATCTCCTTAGGCTTCACTTTTGGGGATATTAATTCAACTTTTTTCTGGCTTTTCTTCTCAATCAGCTTCAACATTTTCAAAGGATCTATTTTCCCTTTTGCTTTGATTTCTCCTCTCTCAATATCTATTTCCACACCCTGCACCCCTGTTCAAAATTCACCATCACATCAAAATATTATCTCTCTTCATCATTAATGCACATGTTTTGGAATATGTTCATCATACCTTGGCTCATCATCAGATGCTTCTTGATCTTCCTCCCACATTCATTGCAATGGAGATTAACTTTGTAAATTGCAGTTATCACTTCAACTTCTTCTTTCTTCTTCTCTTCTTTCCCTGATGCCATTCCCTTTCTGCAAAACGAAGGCTTCCAGAGAATGAAAGAAACCCCAGCAAAAAATAGTGGATGAAGATCACTTCAATGTTACATATTGAAGTTTAAAACTACAAGTTTCGTTAACAATGTTTCTTCGCTGGTTTAGTTAATGGTAGCTCACCGATTTCTTGAAATTTTGTTACACGAAGCAACAATCGTTAGTTGAGAATATTTAAATTTTCAGTGGTTGAGAAACTGTTGAAATAGTTGGATAAAAAATGTTAGAAATTAATTATACAATTTTCATGTTAACTTAAAGCTAATTACACTTTATATACATATTAAAAAAAATGCACACATTAAATTTAAAAAAAAATGGAAAAATTAAATAGTTTATTTTATAAGTTATTTTTTTAATAATTTTATGTAGTGGTTAAATATTTTAATAGTTTCCGAGATTTTCGATTATGTAAAGCAATTTATATACACTTTTTTGTTTTTTTAATCCATCAAAACATGCATTATTAGCCATGTTAATGTTTGGAGTCAGTTAAGTATCGAATAGGGATATAACAAAAATCTTGTCGAAAATTAACATGCATTAACTGAACAATAATACACTTACTACGTTTTTTAAACCAAGTTCTGTGGGGACAAACACAAGTTCACATCATCCAATGTTCAGAAATTCATTCTAAGCACCTCACAAATATATGTGGCATTCATTTGGCAACAACTGTTCCTATATTCCTAGCTTCCACGGTAGGTACTGAATGAGAATGGAGAAAGCAGGAGAGGAACATGAAAATGTTCCCCTTTTTGTGACTCCTTGATTTCAAACACTATAGACACATAAGGAAAGAAACCATTTGGGATGTACTTCCCCGTGTTGAAACTTATCCTGTATATTCCTGGACTCACATCGTCAACTAAGCTCAGCAGTTGACCGCTGCGGCCGTCTGGATCCGTTGTCGATGACCCCTGAAACACCCAACTGCCACCGCCTGTGGCCCCAAATGGCGGCCGAGACTGCACGCCTCTCCACACCTCCAGAAGTACCTCAACGCCAGCAGCCGGAGCGCCCCGGGAAACATCCAACACGTGAGTGGTAATGGGGGGGCGGGTTCTAGCAGGATGGTGAATTGGTTTACCTGATGAACTCTCTGAAGCAGCAGTCACATGGCTACTGATGATGCTAATACGATCTTCTAGCATTGGGAAAGTAGAAAACCAAGATTGGTTACAGATTGTAAACTATAATGTAGAAGTTGGAGAGTGTTGAAAATTGATACAACATTGTATAGACAATAAAGGAAGAGGAGGGTTGTGTTAAGCCTTTGGAAACCCAACTTACCATCCACAGATAACACATGGATTATATGCTGATTGTTGATTTATTGCATACTTACAATTGGATTTAAGCAGATCACCTTTTCTACCCTCTATTTCATTCAAATAGTTAATAACAGATGAAAATAACATGATTCCAACACATGAGTTAACAGTTAACATTAAATCACTTGGATCTCAGATTTGAATATTGTAGAACTCACACCTTTAATATACTAACACAAATATTTGATCCTGCTACTTATATAGACAAAAAGTCATGACCCCATGATGAATGGCTGATGATATGCTACATTTTCATTAATGGATAAAACAACAAGCAAAACAAAATTCATTAGTTGAACGGTTGTCAGGGGAACAGAGGGCACAAAGTTATATCTTTTCGTAGCAGACCTGAATGTCAAAAGGTGTTCTCAAACTGTAACCAAACATAAAACAGTAAAGAATATGGAAGTACCTTCTGCCTTTTTAGCAGATTTAGAAGAAATGTCTTCCCTACTTGAAAAGAGCTTGGCAAGGCGTAGTTCTGTAATTTTCATTTGCTCCTGAGCAGCAATCTCAAATTCAACGATTGGCCTGTTTGTATATCGTCTCTGAAAGTGTAAAATAAACTAATTTAAGTTTACATGAAAAGTCTAACATGAACATTTGCCTTTATCTCTCAAATTCTTTCACTGGTGAAAATTTTCATAATAATTTGGGTTCCTAACCAATGTAGGAAATTGCAATGATTGAATTGTGGACATAAGAAACAATAAAGTAGATGAAAACCCAAAGGAAGTAATTCCCCACCTTTCAATAAGAAGCTCTCAAGATCTATCATGCTCACAAGCCAACATTCTAAACCTAATTAAAATATTGTTTATCCTTTCAATAAGAAACAAACGTATGTTCATAACATAATAGCTCAACAGAATTCACCCAAATAGACATCAATTAACAATAGCAGTTAAATAAATAAATACTTAAAAGTATTCCAACAGTAAACTCTAAATTTAAATTTACCTTCAGCTCAGCGAGTATCTCATTAGTACTTCTTCCAGATGCACAAATGAGAAAAACAAACCCAAACTTTTCCCTATACTGAGCATTCCATTCAGATAGTTCCTGAAAAATGGACCACATGCAGATAACTAACTTCCATTTACCAACAGTTAACATTGCAGTTGAGCTTCCCCTTTAACCATATGTTTGCTGCCCCATTCAAAGCCCAATTTTGTTAATGAATACCTAACTTCCACCACCATGATAATAAACCCATGGTAGACTACGATGCAGGTTCCACAACGAAGGATGCAAACCCCATGAAATATTAGCTAAGAAAGTACAAAAAGAAGGTGCCTTTCAATTCAATATCTTACACATGGTATAATAAGTACTATGAAGATAACAGACCCATAGATCAATCAGGTTACAAACATATATTTCATAGTACAACAAAAAGCACTAAAGTACTAGTAATATTGAGTAGTAGCAGCAAGTAAACCTGTAAGCTAGAACCAGTGGCAGTAGATAAAGCAGTTGATTGCTCTCCCTTACTCCACCTGCCAAAAGCAGTTCCTTATTATTCCCAAAAGGCAAATAGGAGATATCACATGTCACATACCACCCACATGAAGACAAATTCACAACAGTCACTCATGTTTCTCACATCAATGTAAAATGGAGAGAAAAGAATCCAGATGGTTAAAAACAGAACAAAATTGGAGGAATGAATAATTGAACTGACAAACTCCATAACTAACTTCAAAACTAATGCACCCACCAAGAAAAGAAAAACACACCCTTTGCATCTAATTCATTTGTTTCATATCAAAATACAAAATAGAATGCAACCAAACAGGAACAGAATAAGAGGAATAACTGAACTGAACTGAGAAATCCACACCTAACTTAAAATCCCAGACTCAGATTTCCTATAGTCAGGGAATTAGCACATTCACACTGTCACACAATTACAGCTTTAGGATGATCAGTAGATCAGACTTAAAATACGCATCTCAGATTGAGTCGTCCGATATTCATCCAACACTCCAACCTGAAGTCGTGATTGCAGGGAATCCATTTGAAAAACTTATGCACCCACTAAAGAGAAAAGCATAATCATTACACCTAATTCATTAGTTTCACAATATCAATCAATCAGAAATCATAGAAGTATGGGATTTCGAAGATAGTATAAAAGTCAACAAATTTAACCATACATGATAATTTATAACCGAATGACAATGTAAAATCTCTATCATGTCAGTCCATAGACTATATACTCTTAGTTTCACATCGATACACAAAATAGAGAACCACCAAAGTGATTGAAAAATAGAGTAAATAATCTATATCCTCCCAGCTATATCATGTATGAAAAATTCTCTAACTTTTAGATAAACCGCTTGAAAAATCATATTTAATTTCTGATTGGAAGGAGTTAATCACTGAACTTGAACTGACAAATCCTAACTGAAGGCCCAAAGAACCACCAACCCACAAAGACCAAAAAAAACACCCTTTACACTCAAAACTCAAATCTTTCACACTAAAACACAAAAAAGAGAGTGACCCAGATGGGGAAAAGTGATGAATTGAAGTACTGAACTGAGCACTGGCTTCAGATGCGACAGAGGGAGCGTGAGTATGCCCGATCTGAGGGTGCGCAGAGAAGGCCTGAAGCCAACCGTTGACATCAACGTTGTTGAACCAAATTTTCCTAGCGACAGAAATTGCGTGCTCCAACGAACTGAAAGGAGAGGCCAAAACCATGTCCTTGGCGAATTTGGTGCTTCCACAGCACGATACGAAGTCTTTCTCGTCAAAACTGAACTCCATTCTTCAAACAATAATCACTCTTTTCGCTTGTGTTTTGGAGAATTCTATTGGAACTGGAATTGGACAGTGCTTTTATGGTTTGTCCGTGGGCGGAGAAGAGAAGATGATGTGACGCTGTGTCAGCACTTAGTTTTGTTCATTCAACACAAACAAAAAGCCACGTAAAAAGTGTTCTTTTTGGCCAGCACAAGGAGAAAGTGGTAGTGACACAAATTAATTATCTAATGTGGTGATTTTTATTGTTATTTTTTTATTACTCTTTATTTCTCTTAATTTAGGTTCTTACTTTTGTTTTTCCCCTTTTTTTAGTTTAGTTCCTTTTTCTATTGTGGCATCGTTTTTTATACTATAAAATATTTCAATTTTTAACATTTTTTTTACTAATGTTGAATGTGAAATTCAGTATATATTGCTGATTTTCAATCTAACCCTTGTATTATTTATTATATGGTTTAAATAAATTTATATTAGTCTATTTTATTATCTAATAATTTTTATTTTTAAACTTGGGATATAGTAAGTTATAAAATTGTGTTAAAATTTTTTTAAAATAATTTTTTTATTTCGTTTTTACTATGTTATAGATTCTTGTAACCAATTCTTCAAATATTTTAGATTTATCATTATCCTTAGTTTATATTTATTGTATAATATAATTATTATATTTTCCATCATATCATGACATATTATATCTAACCAATTAAAAAAAGGATTTAAGACATATAATTCATCAACTCTACAAATATTGTGACAAATATTTGAACTTAATTGACACGTCAACTTCAACATGTAACATAAGAACATAAAAAAGAATTGTTAATTAAGTAGGTAATCTAATTAAAAAAAAAATATATATATATATATATATATATAAATCAATTAATAAGTTTTAAAATTAAAGGTTGAAATTTTTAATACATGATCTATTTTTAATTTGAATATTTCATATATATATATATATATATATATATATATATATATATATATATATATTTGAATTATGTTATTTCTTATTATTAATGGTTAATTTATTTATTCATTTACTCTTAATATGTTAAACACATTATTTATTATTTATTATTAAAAGAATTTTAGTATGATTATGAGTTCCACCTTTCTTAAAAGTTAATATTAAACTAATTATTATTTTTTAATCTATTGAAATATATTTTAAGAATAAAATTATGATAGATTAGAGTTTTAAAACGGACAATTCCTTGAACATAAGATCTTAGCAATAATATCATAATGAGCATGAAATTGTGACACTCTCATTTCTAAATGGAACATTGACGAGAGTTTCACTCTATTTTTATCCTTTATTCCTTGACTAGTAGATTATATTCTGGTACGTTCATGAGTCTCACAATGCTTAGATAGTTTATGTACACCATATTCTCTTCACCTATTGAGACTCCTTTTAACGATAAAATTATGATGGACCAGAGTTCTAAAACGAACAATATCTCAAACGAAATTAACGATATTATCATAGCGGACATGAGGTCGACACACTTTTGTTCCTAAATAAAATATTTGCACTTACTGTGATATATTAGAGTTTCAAAGCCAATAATAATACATCGAACACGATGATTGACTATAATAATGCTATTATAGTAAACATAAGGTCGAAACACTTTCATCCCTAAACGAAATATTATGCCCACCGTGAAATCGAGAACATAGTCTTGCTCCAAAGTTTTAAAATAGACAATAATAATAGCAAATATAATGGCGGGACACTCTTTATTTCTTAAAAAAAAATTGACGTTTACCATGGAATCAAGAATAGAGTCGTTCTACTCTTATCCCTTATTACTCAACTAGGCAACTATGCTCAATATGCTCATGAATCTTATATTTGAGACTATGCTCTCAATCTTACAAACGTCAATATTTCATTAAAAAATAAAATGTCTTAACCTCAATTAACATGTTTAAAATATTGTTTTAAAATATCAATTAACATGTTTAAAATATTGTTAACTTTGAAACCATAATTCATTCACCATTTTATCTTTTAGATTAAAAAAATAATATATATATATATATATATATATATATATATATATAAACTGATATTAATCTCAATTTTAAAAATAATGAAACTCATTTTTACTTATAAATTAATGGATTTAATATGAAGGAATATTTATGGTCTATATGTATTTTTCTCTTCTTTACATTAATGTCTCTCAAAAAATATTACATTTTAAAATAATTTTTTCTTATCATACAAATACGATGTTTAATTTAAGATTATTACAATTATATAATTTTACTTTTTGGAGAAAAAATATTTTAAAATACGAGGATTGAAACTTACTTTTAAATTTGACTTTTTTTATAATAATTTCATTAATATAAAAACATTTGCACATAAAAAACAAGGATAAGTTAGTTTTTTAATTTCTTCAAAACAAACTTATTTTCCTTTTCATCACACTTGAGATAGAATTTTACTATATTCATGAAATCCACTTTAATTATTCTCACTTTAAAGCATTTAATCATCATAAAACCAACTTTGATCTTTTACTTCACTCATTTCCTTTCTTATTTTTCCTTTCTAGGACACAAACATGGTCTTAAACTTAGAAAAGAAACATAATATATGTTACTTTCTTCTTTTCTTTTAAGAACTAATCCAAAGAGGTTAATCCTTGTAGAACCCTAAAACATACAAGCTAGTACCCTTTGGCAATCTTTGAACGTTCAAGTATGAATTTTCCTTCCTTGAACTTTTGTCTTGCCTCAGAAGCTTGAAGGTACTTCCAACCTAATTCCTCACCACAGTTGCTGCAAAAGAGGCCAGCAATGGTGTACACACCAGTTATCAGAGTTCTCTCTTCCTTTTGCCCAATTACAATGTTCCTCACATTAGAGAACAGAAACGCTTGCCCTGTTTTTGCCTGAAAAGCAAGAGATCTATATATCAGGGTGTGAAATAGACTAATTGCCATGAAAAAAGAATAAAGAAAAACGTAGTTCTGGGAAAGAAAGAAAGAAAGAAAGAAAGTAAGAGAGAAGAATGCTTAGTTTTGGTCATTTTTCATCTAAAAATCATCATATAATCATCTACCAGATCCAAAGAAGGAAACAAACTGATGAAGAGTTAACAAATTGAATTTCATGAACAATTTTACCATATAGTTTTTGGAGAGAAGTTCATCACGGAAAGCAATAGGAACTTGGCAGTTTCTGCACCTGTAGAGTGCAGATTGATCACCATGAATCTCCATTGAAGTGATTCAAATCAAGAGATGCTGTGAGTTTTGTTGAACACAACGTGGCTTATATAGGAAGAGGAAAGTGGAGTAGATGGATAATATTGTGGTGTGGTCAACAACACATTGGACCAAAGATGTGAGAATATGGATTGCTTGCAACTCACAACAACAAACCACAGCCGTTTGATTCATCTCACCACTAATTTTGATCTAAATATATTTTAAGTTTTTTTCAATAACTTATTTTGTCTTTTCGAATTAAAATTTAATTTTGTAATGATTAAAATTCATTAAAAATTGTAAAATCAAAATAAAAAAATGAAATCTGTCAAATTTCATAATTTTTAATATTTTTAATTAATAAAATAGTGTATAGTCAAAAGAGAGTTGTTTTTTGTTTCTTTGTTATTTGAATGAGAGATTGGTAGAATAATTTTTTGGAATACGAATGTAATTTTTTTTTTAATTTAAAATAAAAAAGAACACTTCATCCAGATTTAAGAAATTTTTACAAATCGTTTTCTAAATACTAGAATTAATTTATACATAACTTAAAAAATATTTTTAAAAAAAGTTAATGAATTTTTTTTATAAATTAATTTTAGAGAAGCTGTTATTATTTAATTTTAAAATAATATTTGTAAAACTATATCCAAATAAAAGAAAACATATTTTGGATAATTAGATTCAAAACACTGATCTGAACCGTACGATCTTCATCCTGTGGTTACAAACCAGCGAAAGCACCAAGATGTGATTTCTTATTGCATTGAGAACATTTCCACCATGCGGACGCGTGATAGAGACAACGTTAGGTGCCACGAAAGATCACACAAGAAGTCATTATTATTATCAACGTCTATTTTTTGACTTTTCGTTTTTGAATTTTAGTGATTTATTCATTTATCCAATCATTATCTACTTTTTATTTTATTTTATTTTCTAAATTAATGACAAGCAAGTTTTTTTTTTACCCCACCGTAATTATATGATATTTTTAATATAAAAATAATTTCAACTACTTAAAAATTTTATAAATATAAAACTAAGATGAATATGTTTTTATAAATATTTATTTTTTAGAATAAAACTTTTTATATATTTTTTAAAATTTAGAGTCCTAAATTATATTTTAAATTAGGAAGTAATAAGAGAAAATTAAAGTAAAAAGGAGATATTTTACCATTTGAAATGTAAGTGTTTTATTTTATTTTATGATTTTAGTTATTTGTAAGTTTATTGAAAATTTAAGATAATAAAAAATATTTTGGTTATGTGGGGTGTTACCTAGGTTTTGTAACCAAAATATTAACATAACATTTTACTTATGAAAGATATGATTTTAAAATATTCAGATAACATTTTACTTATGAAAGATATGATTTTAAAATATTCAGACGAGGAGAGTTAGTTATTTGAATTACAACATGTCTAAAGAAATATATATACTGTGATATATATTTGAATTACAATATATATTGTTTTAGTATTGTATAATGTTTCATCGCATATTTGTGGTATTATGAATTGTATTGTTGGGTTTTGGATGGAAACAAATTAGAAATTGGAAAAAATATTGCTTTGTGGTTTTATTTTCTTTCGCTTAAGTGAGGGTAAAATAATGGAAGAGGTCGCTTCACGCAATAATAATCTGCTAAAGCGAAAATCAAGTTAGTTTAATTTTTGTTCAAATAATAATTAAGTCAACTTAAGTTCATTAAAAATTTGACTATAAATACATGTGGGAGAGATGATAACCTTTTTTATGGAAGAAGAAAGAAAAAGAGAAAAAGTAAAAAAGGGAAGGAAAGAGAGAAAGAGAAATAAAATATAAAAATTATAAAACTTTGATACATCGTTATAATTATTAAATTACGAGAATAAGACATTTATTATTATATTTATTTATGGTTATGGAATAAATTATCTTTAACTTCATTTTATTTATTTTATTATATTTATTTATCTCTAATTACGTATTAATTCTATTTTATTTATTTTTAGTTATACATTTATCATATTTATATCTATTTATTTTATCTCTAGTTATGTATTGATTTTATTTTATTTATCTCCAATTACTTGTTGGTCTATTGGTAAACGTATCAATAGTTACCTGTAATATAATATTTTTTTAGTGAAAGTGTCAATCACACGATGAACGGGTTTAATTAAAATAAATAATTTATCTCAAACAACATATATACAAGGATATCCATTTGATTCATGATTGATAATAATGATTTATACTAAATTTTCATGAAAATAATATAATGACGGTAGATTGATTAGAAGAGATTCAAAGAGAGAAGTTGAGATTGAATTTCATCTATCTCACTCTTTTGTAATCTAGATGAATATAAATATATAACATCTGAATTTGTCAATATTGATGTAACACATAATAATCATTTATTGTGATTCCTCACGTATAAAATTCATAAGACCGATTTTCTAGATATCGATTCCTCACATATCCAACAAACTATCCAACGTTCTTTTCAAGTGTTAAAAACAATTGATATACTGAAATTTATTCTTAGCATTACAATACATCAAGTATTTTTGCTTAGATCAGATTTTCAGAAATACTTTCCAGTCAAGTCTAAAAATCACATTCACGAATCTATTGATCAGATAGAATCAAACATTAAGAACAAAACAAAAATGCCAATATTAAATAGAACACAGAAAAGCTATATATAGATATCACCAGATTTCATCCAAGTTCGAATCAATTACATTCAATCCCAAAAGAAAAGATTAGCCACTTATGGTAGCCATTGACATCCTAAGAGAAGAAGAAAAACCCTAAAGTTAAAACTGGAGAAGAATTTTCCCTAATCTTGTCAAAATCGGTGCACCCCTATTTTTTGTCCTCTCACATTCTAAACCACAAAGTATATATGCTGCACGAATTCTCACTTAAGCTAAATTATTCTCGCTTAAGCCAGAATGACTTTTGAATTGATCGCTTTCTGGACGAATCTCGCTCAAGCAAGATAATTTTCGTTTGGGTTATAATGACTTTTGAATTGATCGCTCTCTGAACGAATCTCGCTTAGACGATACCATTCTAGCTTGAGCAAGTTATGGTAAGATTTCATGTCTTTTTCCTCTGTTTCTTCCTTTTTTTTTCTTCTTCTTTTAAACCCTTTTCTCCTTCTCTCTTAATTTACCTGAAACATATACAAAATGAGGATCAAATGATTTTCTTTTTAATTAAAACTCGAAAACATATGATTATATTTTATCATTCTTAAATTAGGGGAAATTGATACAACTATACAAAAGTTGAAACAACAGTGTCATCATTCCATATGAAAATTTACTATTTTTTGGCACTTATCAACTTATCATATTTATATCTATTTATTTTATCTCTAATTATGTACTAATTTTATTTTATTTATCTCCAATTATGCATTAATCATATTTTATATCCCCATTTATGTACAAATTATATTTATTTTATTTTTAGTTACGCATTGGTCCTATTTTATTTATTTTCAATTATGCATTGGTTGCATATCTATTTATTTTATCTCGAAGTTACGAGTCCTATTTTATATATAATCATTTTATCTTTAATTGATCTTTTTTATATTTAATTATTCAGTTACATATATGTCCTATATTTTTTTATCTTTAATTATTCATTGGTCTTTATTTATTAATTTATATTTATATTATTTATTTTTTTAAATAATAATATTTGTTTGTGAAGATTTGATGATGTTGTAGATGGAGGTTGAACCTTAAGATTGAAATGAGTAAGTATGATTTAGAGAGTGATTAAATTCACTACATGAAATACGGGAAATACCAATGGATAAAATCCGTCGATAATAACAAAAATCTGTCGGTAAATAGATATTACCGACGACCAAAAATCCATTGGAAATTGGGTTGTCAGTAAATATTACTGATGGATTTAAATAGTCCGTCAGTAATTACCGACGGATAAATCTGTTAAAACCTTCCATGAGTAATTACCGATGGACAGATCCGTCAGAAAATGTTGCAGGTAATTACTGGGAAATGTTGCAGGTAATTACCGACGGATATCCATCGGTAAATGGTGTAGGTCATTACTGATGGATATATCCATCGAAAAATGTTGTAAGTCATTACTGACAGATATATCTGTCGGTAATATCCTAATTTCATCTTGTTTTAATTAAATTTTTCAATATACCATTTCCCCTGCATAATATCACACACATTTTATATCAGAGGCAACACCAAATCCAGTTCCACACTTTCAGATCAAATTCAACTTAAATATAACACAAATAACCTCAATTGAAATCAAACATAATTAAAATAACCTCAATTCAAACAAATGACATATAGATCAAACTATCTATAATGAAACTTAATGTGTAAGAGTAACTATGATTAGAAAGAAGAATAATGTAAAATACAATATTATTTGACCAAATATCTAATAATGGGAATAATCAGGAGACTCTTGTCCTTGTTGTGTATTGCCTTGTTGTTCTGGGTTGCTTGTTGTTCTGGGTTGTCTTCTTCATGTTGAGGTTGTTGTTGCTGACTATCTTATTAGCTGTGTTGGCGCTGCTGAATGAGGGATTATGCATCGACAAGTGATTGAAACTCCCAAAACTGGTGCTCTAGTCGCTCATTATGCTCCTTTGTTCGATGAATCTCTTCCCTCAGTTGATTCATCTCTTGAACATCAACAGAGGAGCTGGATGCTTCAGTCTGATGCTTGAGAGTATCATACCCACCATGGTAACAATGACCAAGCTGTTCAGCTCCATATAATCTTCCCTTAGCTTTCTCTCCAATAGTGTCTATCCAACAACGAGACCTAATAAGATCATCCTCTACAGAGTCTGTAGGAGTAGACTCTGCTTCGCCAACACAGGAACCAACAGATGACCTAGCTAGTGAAAGTCTAGTCTAAAATTCCTCCTATTAGTACAAACAAAGAAATATTGTGATATGATCAACTTTACATATTATAAAATAAATCAAAAGTGAAGAAACTTATATGTGTCTTCCTAGACCTTTCATCAACAAAATGACCTGTATTTTTTTTTATACGGGTCTGCTGGAAGATCTCATCAACAAACACTGATCTCCCAAGCTCTTTTACCTGCATTACATTGACAAAATAAAAATTATATACAATTTAGTTAGCCTTATATAATCCTAAATATATATTTAAAAGACTTACCATACGCATGGTATATTCATGTGTGGTGATGGAGCCACTTGTGTGTAGGTTTCTCCCCTTTCCAGATGCTCTGTTATTTTGGGCTTGCACACATTTGGAGCGATAGATGGTTGAGCTCCAATGTTCTAGTAACCTGCTCCAAACATGTTCTCCAATCCAATCTGGCCTTTGGCCAGCAACTCTTGTGTCCCGAAACATGTCACTAAGCCTGTGAGATGCTTTGGAATGAAAATTCTTTATTTGATTTTCATGTTCCCGTCTCCATTGAACCTTCATCTGTAAGTAGACATTATTGTACAAATTATATACAATTTCAGTTAAAGGAAAAAATGGAAATCACCTTCAATAAATAATAGATATTAAACATTATAAGTGCCCATGATTTTCGTTTATTGTTTCCTACATTCAAACATGTGATGTTATTTTTTTCCCTCCCAAACACCTTAGACCATTTGAATCCTTACAAACCATACACATATTTTTGATGCATCCCTTGCACGGATTTTCCATTTTGGGAGGTAGCCCCGGTATTCAGGTTATGTAATAATGCTATGCTAATGTCTACTTTCTAGATACATTATTCGTACATGTTCGTTTGTCAACAAGAAAATGAAAACGTGGTGCATGGTAGAGTCTAAATGTTTGTTTGTAATTTTGAATTTATAGGGTATAAACAGTGAAAAAATGAAAGACTAATAAAAAGAAGAAGGTTATGAAATCGGGGCTGAAAGAGCAGATACATTTCATTTGGGCTAATAACCTATTTCAAGAAAGCTTCCCACATCACATGCCAAAGATTCCTCCATACATTCTCCGTAAAATCTTAATCACTTTTCTTTTGAATTTTTTTGTTAAAACACACTCTTTATTTCTAGAAAAGTAGTTACCTTAAAACGTTGCTAGAAAGACTCCTTATCACTATTAGGAATCACTCCCCATGTCACCCAAGGCTGAAGGAATTGCTGTTTAATACTCTTTGTAACAGCTTGGATGCAACCCTAGACGAAAGAAACCTAATTTCAAAGAAAAAGTTATACAATGTATGTATATATATATATATATATATATATATATATATAGTCAAAACAACTAAAACTTAGTTATAATATATATTGAGAATTGAATATAAATATTACCCTCGACTGTAAGGTTCAATCATGGGTCGATCACGGAGAGCAGGGTCATCTTCTGCAATCTCTGAATCGACATCCCCACTAGACTGTGATGTTCTAACCGCAATCTGTGGGGATAGAATCTGTGTAGGTGGATGTTGTTGCGAGGTGGAAGGACTTGACACCATAGCAAGGGCTGGGGATAAGGTGGGTGTCACAATCGGGGCTGAGGATGGTATAGGTGGTATTACAGAAGTGGATGGTGCTGTCAGTGGTGTGGGTATAGTAGGCATAAAAGAAGGGGATGATGTTGTCAGTGGTGTGGGTATAGTAGTCACAACAGAAGGGGATGGTGCTGTCAGTGGTGTGGGTATAGTAGGCACATCAGAAGGGGATGAGGTAGATCCTACAATAGAAGATGGTGATGGATGAAGTGCAGCAAGTGGAGACACTATGTCAATGGGAACTATCTTCAATACTAAAAAAACTAGAACAAATTGAGGATTGGTACTGCATCTATAGAGACGACATACTAGCGAACAAGGTATTACACAACTTGCCTAGAATGAAAGAAGCCTTCGAGGAGATTTTAAAAGATATAGAGACCAATATCTTCAGTAGAATTATTGATTATTTAAGAGAAAAAGGAAACCCAAAAGAGTACGATGTAGAAGAACTAAGAGAGAAATATTTAGTAATAGATTGGATTGTGTGTCAGCTGTGCTTCACAACACCCATAAAAACAAAACAATTATTCATTTATGGAGAGCCCAACACACAAAAAACGCTTCTCTTACACTATTTATCCAAAGTTATATGAATTTACTTTGCAAGCTCTAGAAGAAACGACTTTGCAGGAGCAAATGATTATTATGACTTATGGGCATTCGATGAATTTCACGAACAGGAACAGGAGGAACAAGGACAAATGAGAGGATCCACTATTGAGGGAGTGCCTTTGTGAACAACTTATTAAAGGTACTTGATGGGCAGGAGTGCAGGCTAGACTCAAAATATGCAAACGTATTAAAAAAACGTACCCATAATTATGATAGCGAATAAGCTATCCCAAATAATGGAATGGCATGGACTCTTTAGAGAAAGGTTCTCCACAAGGATACAAAACTTAGAAGAGGAAAGAGTAATTGCAACATTATGGGGATGCTTGCTAAGAAGAATACAAAAAAGCCCATATGCTCAAGAAAAGGAAACACCTAAGCAAATTAACTTAGCGTATAATCAAAGCAGCGCAGTCATAGTACCCATGGAAGAGAAAGAAGAATTGAAGAAAAGTATGCAAGACATTGAGAATCCAATTAAAATTAAAGATAAAAAACAAATAGAAAGAATTATAAAAAGTGAACCAGTACTACTTACAAAATAAGGAGAATTCTACAAGCTAAAGCCAAAAATCATAAATATTCAGAAAGAGTACAACATATTAATATTTGAAATTTTAAAGTTAGAAGGAGAATACTGGGAAGAGAATAAAAACAAAATAAGCCTTTTAAGCTTTGCTAACATACCGATAAAAAAGAAAGAAAAATATAAGGGAAATGATAATAAAAAAAGTACCTTAAAAAAACTGTTTGAACAACAGGAAGAAAAGACAATAGAAGAAGAGGAAGAAAAAGGAAAAGAGAAACATGATAGTATAATTAGACTAAATAACATCTTTTTGGATCACAAAGAAAGAGGGTGGATAAGAAAGAAAAAAAAAAGGATCAAATACATGTAATTAAACAAGGAAGTGTGCAAGACGATGATATGGGAAAGACACAAATTAGCTCCTTGTGACTAATATGGCAATCATTATACAGGGAGCTAGATCTTGCAATCAAAGGTGCTTTTCTAGGATGGAGCAGTGAAAAATAAGTGGACAAGTTTGACATGCTTGCTCCTCAAATAAATAACATTTGAATTTGATTGGGGTTTTGGATAATCCATCAGTATCAGAAAAAATTAAAGTCAATATAAGTGAAAATTTTAAACTTAAAGAATCTTATTCCAAAGAAGAACATGTCCAAGAGATACTTTAGTATTGGAGAATATTTTAAAGCATGCAATAAAAATTTTGACTTATTTGACCTAACATACAACTTCAATGACACTTTGCATCTATAAATTTATTGCAGATTAGCAACCATATCCATGACTAATATACATATCTAATACATCCACATAAAATTCATAACAATTCTATTATTTGTATTATTTATTTTTGCTTCTCTCCTACCAGCAATATGCTACCAAAAGAAGTAAGAAAATGTGCATAGTTTGAAGTCTACTCACAAGAGGAAGCAGATAGGACAGCAAAGTAAAATCTTGTTTATGTAAGAATTTACTGGATGCTCTCAACACACTATTCAAAGGGCATGGTGTTTCCTCCAACTTTCCAGCAAGAAAAAGGGCAGCAGTAGCAATTAACTGTCGCAGGGCACATTCAAAATTAGTTAAATCACATGTTGACTATAGAGAAACAACTTGGAAAAACAGATATGAAATACCACATGTCATTGTCACTGCATATTTGTTTAAATAAACTAAGTTACGAAACGCACACATATGTCTACAAGGATTAATGGCCATTTCAAAATAATCACTGTTCCTGTCTTTAGCATAAACCATATCACATATTTCAGGCATTTTGAACACTCCTAACTAAAGCATGCAAAAAAAATATTTGTATACTACTACGAAGTAAATAGATTAATCATGGTATATCTCTAACCAAAAGTAGATGATGGTATTTAATTAACTAGTGATATTTTCACAAACTCGGATGCAAGTTTTTCCTTCTTATTTTATTCTACTACAAGATCTTACGCAAAGTTTATCCAAATAGGACCTTAGGGTATAACAATCCATTAGACATCAGCAGTTTCACTTTTCAGATGTTAAACAAAATGTTCAGTGAACGTTGAACAGCATGTCATCAGAATAGATAAAACCAATCAGAGCCATCAGAACACAGACAACACCAAACCAGTTTAGGACTCAGACAACATCAAGCCAGGCAGCGTAACCAACAAAACCCACTTCAAAATGGTAAAATGAAATCAAACACAACAACAGATCCAAAACAAAACTGAATTTATCAAAAGAAAGGTGAAATGGAACAAACAACTTGAGAGAAATCTTACTCGAACCCAATAGCAGCAGTGACCCAGATTGTGGATCTATTAATGATATAAGATAGGTAAATAACTATTTTAAAATTAGAAGAGAAATGATTGTTATTGTAAAAAACTTAAGGGAAGGTGGATGTATTTTCTCTTTGAATTAATGTAAGTTAATTATAATGACATATGTTGTTTATTTTTAATAATAAAATTATGTGTATTTTTTTGACAAAAATAATATATTTTCCTTTTGTATATTAAACCTTTTAATTTGAAGAAAAAAAATTCATTATAATCAAATTGGTTTTGTTTGATTTATACAAATTTTCTTTGAAAAAAATTTAAACCAATAAAAATAATTTATTTAGATTAAACTTTTCTCCAAATTCTATCTGAATTGACTGTCATAATAAATTTGATTCTTGTTCAAATAAATTAATTTACATGTGTAGATTTATATATATACATATATATATATATATATATATATATATATATTTTATTTTTTTTTAAATTCTTTTTATATATATTGGAGATGAATAAAAATATTTAGAATCCCGTGCCTGGCACGTGGTCCAATAGTTCATTTACATAGCCACCACCACATTTGGGGTTCTGTCTTACCCTCCCACCGGAACACAGGAAACGCCCCCGAAGCCAACCTTCCCTTGGCTGCCGTTATGGCTTCACCCTCCCAAGGCGATCACCAGCAGGTCTCTTTCTATTATCTATCTTGTGTGTTAATTTACAAGTTCCAGATAAACTTCACTTCACATCACTCTCTTCATTTTCGTTCTTCAGAATATTTTCTGTATTTTTTCTTTTGAATGTTTTGTGTATTTCATTTAAATTGAAGATCAACATAGTTACTGAAGTAAAATCGTTGTAATAAAGCACCGAAAATAGCTGAATTAATCGTATCTTAGTTCTATCCTTGTTATTGTTGTAGTTTGATACATTAGTAAAATGTTTTTTCGTTTTCATTTTTTTTTAATTTATTTTAACTATTTTTGGTTTGTTTGACAGCTTATGGTGGAGCGTAAATCACATGTGAGAGTTTTGACACTAAATAGGCCTAAGCAGTTGAATGCCCTCTCTTTTTATATGGTACTTTAATCTGTTCAATGCGTCATTTTTTTATGAACTGTTTTTATGTTGGAAAATTGCTGTAGAGTGGACTCGCTCCTCTGAAGTGAGAAAGGGGAGAGTTAGTAATCTCAGTTGTTGATGTAAAAAATGAATCAATGGGTGTTTTTTCAAGAAATTCGGGATTTTTTATGTACATGAACATAATATTGATTGGTGATTTTCTTATCAATGATTGGTCTTACTTATTTTACCCTCTAAAGTACGTTGCTCACTTAGAGGTGCTGGATCCAGAGTCTGAAGTAATGCGACAATATGGTTTCACTGATTAAGAATTTTCAATATAAAGCTGTGTGTTGAAATGATAATTGAGATTTTTTTATTTTTTATTTTTTAAATATTATTGATTATTTCTTGCACTGTCTAAGTCTTTTCTGACTGTTTATTTGCTGCTGCCATATACTATAGGTTGTCTCAACATAGAAGTTAACTACACTTCTGATCACATACATTAGGGAACTAAGGAAACATGAAAAAAAGGGCTAAATATAAAAGTATGTGTTATACGGAGGAAAAGAATGCAATTCCATTTCCTATTTTCTTACTTTTACTGTCTTCTTGTTAATTGTTATAGGTTTCTCGGCTACTTAAAGTTTTTTCGGAGGATGAGGAAAATTCTGATATTAAATTGGTTGTCGTGAAGGTAATCTCCTTTTAATGAGCACATTAATAGACTCTTTTTTTCTTTTACTCTATGGAAGGATTTTTTATTTTTATTTTTTAACTCTATGGAAGGAACAAAATAAACTGCTGTTGGAATTGAAATGGCAGGGAATAAACTACTAAATTATTTATTGTAAAAATTTGGCTCGAGCAAATCAGTTTCTGAAGGTCATCAAGTAATGTTTAGAGCCTAAAATATGACATACAATGACTAATTTGTACTCTTGTAAAGATAACTTAAAGTGATTCTTAAAATATTCTACTAAATTTTTTAGGGACTACTTTTATCAATAACAGTCGGTGTGCAAAAGCATCTCTACACAAGACTTTATCAAACATTTGCAACACACCAAATATCATTAAAGAAATAAAGAAAACTAAAGACACCAGGGAACCAAATCAAACCCACTGAACGTTCTTTTGGTTGGACTGGGTGAACCTATGTTTTTAAAATGTTAGAGGCGATGCAAGTAACCTTGTATGTTGCATACTCATTGGTTAGTGACAAACTTCTGCTGTTCAAACAATTCATATAATATGTGAAAATGAATGCATTTCTTACTTTAACAATTAGAAAGAGAAGTCATGGATGGATATTGAACATAATTTTTCTTATCTTCAAAGAGAATGAGGACTTTATGACTTTTGGCTTGTCTTGTGGCTACCTATATCAGGGAAATGGAAGGTCTTTTTGTGCTGGTGGTGATGTTGCAGCTGTTGCTCGTGAAGGAAGTAAAGGTATGTTTTCTTTTTGTTACTTAATGGATCACATATTTTAAAATAACATTCATTGTATTGCTGTGAGCGCTGTATTTTTTCCTAGTTTTTATGATATCATTTCATGTTACATTCTTTTATTGGTTTGATCTTATTTTATGTTTATAAATTTTATTTTGCCACCTAAGAGCTGTTGTTGTAGTCCCATGTAAATGTTGTAAGTTTTGTAGATTACTCAGCAATTAGGAATTAGGATTATTAGTTACCCCAGACAGGCAAGTATTAAAGTCTCAATATATTGAAAAAGGTTCATGGCCAGAATTATCATCAATAATATTCATTTTTTTTTTCTCCAAGTAAATTAAGTTGGGCCTTCTATGCATTTTGGTTCAGCAATCATGCACAAAATTTCAATAAACTGATTCCTATCACTTGTCATGAGCCATTTTAGAACCTTAAGATGTTGGGAGAAAGTACATAAATAATTCCGGTTGTTTCCCTATTATAAAACTGGTGGTGATTCCATTTGTTCCTTTATCTGCCAGTACCCTCCTGGTATATTGTATTGTGATAATTTCTACAATCTTAATTTGAGAGGGTAGCTATTTTGATGTGAAATATTGTGCTGATTTGAAATTCTTTATATCAACTAGTGTAGCTAGTATAAGAATTCAAAAACTTTGAATTTATGAATTTTCTAATATTGTATTTAATGTTAATGCAAAATTATTATTTTTTATTTTCTATGAAAATAGGTGACTGGAGGTATGGTGCAAATTTTTTTCATACTGAATATAAATTGAATTACTTGATGGCAACATATAGTAAGCCCCAGGTAACTCTTATGTAATATACTTTTATGTTTGCACTATGACAGACATACATACCTTTTTTCTTACCTTTGTTTGCAAAACATTTGAAGGTTTCCATTCTTAATGGAATTGTCATGGGAGGTGGTGCTGGTGCTTCTGTACATGGAAGATTTCGTATCGTTACAGAGAATACGGTACTTTTTGGTTGAGAGCATTACTATGTAATGTATTTTTGAGGAAGAAAGATATTTATTTCATAATCATTCAAATTAAAAAAGATTGAAATTTATGGGAAGAGTTGGTTATAGATTTTCTAACCAATCTAATTACAGTTCTAAGACAAAGAAATAAGTAAGGTAAAAATAAAACAGAACTGATAAGGATAAGATCAGTGAAAAACTGATCATCTACCATAAGGGTTCTAGAATTAAATTATTGTAAAATATCACAACTTCTATACCCGCAATGTTGGTGCATAGGTATCTGTTGAGATATGATGTTTTTCTATCTTTCCTTAGACTAGGGTTAAGGGTTTGGGCTTAGACCCATATCCTCTCTATTGTATCTCTATTATCTTTAAATACAATGTAACAGTGCCTTTTGACATTGTATTGGAAACCCTAAATAAGTTTCTCAAGTTGGTATCAGAACGGGTATGATCTCGTAGTGATTTCCTGTCATTCCTGTCATCTCTGTCTGCCCCGGCCACTATGTCAGTTTGGTCCGGTGAAGGTAGGGTTTGGTGCACTTAGAAGAGCGTGACTCACCCCTGCAAGTCGTTCCTCCGTCAGCTTCCCCACGCGTCGTTATGTGCGGTCGTTCCAAAGGGCTGTCTCAGGCGCGTGTGTCCCACACACCGCCTTCCAATGACCGGAATTAAGGCCGATCACCTTTGTTCGACTCATCGGAGCCCTCCTAGTCCTATGATGCCCTTATTTTTTTGTTTTGAGAACTTTGGAAGCTAGGTCACGTGGGTAACCTATTGGTTAGGTTTATCTTTCATCTTTGTTTCAGATAAAAATGGCTTCATCTAGTGTTTTTTCTTTTTCTTTTATTATAAAAGGTCGTCTTCAATGTTTCTATTGCAAGAAAATGGGGCACACACAAGAAAACTGCTATTCCTTACACGGTTTTCCTTCCAGGAATACCACTTCCTATGTTTCTAAGTCTGAAAAATCGGATTTGAAAATCTCTTATGAGGAGTATCAAGAGATTTTGAAGTTCAAATCAGAAAAATTAAATAGTCAGGGTCAATCTTCTTTCATGTCTAATGTTTCAACAACATGCATTTTTCAATCTGTGGAAGGTCAAAACCAATGGATTCTTGATTCAGGTGCCTTTGATCATATATCTGGTAACAGTTTCTCATTTTCCTCCATGTCCTATCCTAAAATTCCTCACCTGATTACTGTGGCTAATAGATCTAAAGTAAAATCATAAGGAATTGACCATGTTCCTTTAACCCCTTCTTTGAATTTAAATTCTGTTCTTTTCATTCCTAATTGCCCTTACTATAACTTGATTTCTCTAAGTCAATTGACTCGTTCTTTAAATTGTTCTGTAACCTTTAATTTCAATTCTTTTGTTATTGATAACATGGTACGGGTCGTCTGATTGGAGAAGGTCATGAAACACATGGTCTGTATTATCTAAATCCAAGTCCTTCAATGTCATGTCTTGCTTCTCCTTCTCCTAATTTTTTGCATGATCGTCTGGTCACCCAAGCTTACCAAAGTTGAAAGTAATGACTCCTAATCTCAAACATCTTCGTGGTTTAGAATGTGAATCTTGCTAATTAGGAAAACATGTTAGGTCTACCTTTCCTAAACACTTTGAAACTTCATGTAATTTTCCTTTCTCAAATATTCATTCTGATGTTTAGGGACCGAGTCGTATCTCTTCATTTGACTTTCGGTATTTTGTAACCTTTATTGATGAATTTTTCAGATGTACTTGGGTTTATTTAATGAAAGACAGATATAAAATTTTGTCCATTTTTGTGTCCTTTAATGAAATTAAAAATCAATTTGGGAATATAATTAAAGTTCTTAAAAGTGATAATGCCAAAGAATATTTTTTAGCCTCCTTCTCTTCTTTTTTATCTTTCCAAGGTATTTTACATCAATCAACTTGTCCTCACACTCCACAACAAAATGATATTGCAGAAAGGAAAAATAGACATCTTATTGAGACTACACACTCTCTAATGTTGAATGCCAATGTTCTTATTCATCATTAGGGAGATGCAGTTCTCACTGCTTGTTTTTAGATTAACCGCATGCCATCTTCTTTTCTTCAAAATAAAATTCCTCATTCCCTTATCTTTCCAGATGATCCTTTTTATCAAGTGTCTCCTTGTGTATTTGGTTGTACTTGTTTTGTCCATAATGTCTCCCCAGGTCTGGATAAATTAGGTGTTAAAGTCATTAAATGTGTCTTCTTAAAGTACTCTCGCCTCCAAAAAGGGTACAAATGTTATTCTCCATCCATCAAAAGGTATTACATATCTGCTGATGTCACATTTTTTGAGGAAACACCCTTCCTTTCCTCCTCCATGGAGAATGATTCCTCTATTCAAAATGTTCTTCCTATACCCCCATGTGATCCATTTATAACACCTGATCCTTCACCAATTCAACCTACAGGTCTCAATGATTTTCCTCCTTTTCTTATACCCTCATGTGATCCGCCTACACCTTTACCAGATTCTGCAGATAATCGTGATTCAGAACTTTCTCCATCAGATTCTCATACCATGGATCCTTTGACCTCCTCTCCCACTTCTGATTCTGGATTGCCTATTGCACTCAGAAAAGGTATTCGTCCCTCTTGGAATCCCTTTCCTATTTATAACTTTTTAAGTTACCATCATTTGTTTCCTTCCTATTTCTCTTTTGTTGTCTCTTTGGTTGACACCACTATTCCTAATACTGTCTGTTAGAATTATTATTAGTTAGTGGTTAGTGGTTAGTAGTTGGTGGTTGGTGGTTGTTAGTAGTTGGTGGTTGTTGTTTTAAATATTGTAATCCTATATATATATGAGATCATAGAGTGGAGTAATGAATCCCACTAAATTAGAAATCTTTTTTTCACTCTCTTTACTCTCTTAACTTGGTATCAGAGCAGGTTGGTCCTGCTCTGCCTGTCTGGCCATTTTCTGGTCACCGTCTGACCATTTTCCGGTCACCATTCGGTCATTTTCTGGTCACCGTCCCGGCCATTTTCCGGTCACCGTCCAGCCACTTTCCGGTCACTTTTCGACAACCGTCAGTCCCTCGTCCAGTCACCTTTTTTTGCTGCCTTCCGACGACTTTCCGACCACCTTCCAGTAACCTTTCGGCTACCTTGGGTGTTCTCTTTCTTACAGGTTCCATTGTCTCCATCTTACATATACATTATTTAAAACATGTCGTCAGGGCCCACAACCTCCTTTTCTGGAACTCCCACGATAATGGCTGAGAAATTAAATGGAAAAAATTACATCTCTTGGTCCTCTTCAGTGGAACTTTGGTTCCTTGGACAAGGGTTTCACGATCATCTAGAAGAAGACGGAAGTAAGATACCAGAAGATCAGGCTCAACAATGGAAAAAACTTGATTATCAACTCTGTGCTCTACTGTAGCAATCAGTAGAACCAAATATATTGAACACTCTCATATCCTTCAAAACATGTAACTCTTTCTGGAAAAAAAGCTCAGAATATCTTCGCAAATGATATCCAACGCCTCTATGATTCCGCTAATCAATTAGTCTCTCTCAAGCAAGTGAATAAAGATATGATGACCTTTATTGCTGAAGCTCAATCAGCCGTTGAAGAATTAAAGATGTTCCTAGAGGTGGATTCGTTAGAGGAGAAAAGCAAAAGTTGGATAAATTCTATATGGTTATGACTCTCCGGGCCATGAATTCAAAATTTGATCATGTTAGAGATCAAATTTTAACTGGACAAGAAGTTCCTTCTATAGAAAGTTTGACTACAAGACTGCTTCGTGTTCCAACTCTCAAAGGAAAAAATAATCAAGAACTTGTTGAATCTTCTCCTATGATTTCTACCCGTGGAAGAGGAAGTCGCGACACTAGAGGAGGACGTGGAGGTAGAGGACGTCCTCAGTGCACTCATTGCAAGAGAATGGGTCATACAATGGAAAATTGCTACTCTTTGCACGGTTTTCCTGACAAAACTGTCAATTTTTCCAAATCTGAAATGGTTGAACCCAAGTTCTCTCACAAAGAATATCAAGAATATTTGAGGTTGAAATCCAGTAATCTAGCACAGTCATCAACAACCCCAAATTCATCAACAACTTGTGTTAGAATCGCGCAGCGGAATGTTCGCGTGGTCGGACAAAAACCAAACTTTTTGAGAATCTCCTTGCAGTATTTAGTTTGAGAGATGAAATTGCCATCTTTAAGTTGCTTGAATTGTAGTCCAAGGAAGAATGTCAATTTTCCCATCATAGACATTTCAAACTCTCCCTGCATAATCTTAGCAAATTCTACACATAACGAATTATCAGTTGATCCAAAAATTATATCATCAACATATACCTGGACCAATAAGATATGTTCTTTTACTTTCTTAATGAACAAGTGTAGAATCAATTTTTCCTCTTGAAAAATCATTTGCGGTTAGGAAACTACTTAATCTTTCATACCAAGATCTAGGAACTTGTTTTAACCCATATAATGCTTTCTTTAATTTGAAAATATGATTAGGATTATTAAAATCTTCAAATCCAGGGGGTTGCTCTACATACACTTCTTCTTTAATAAAACCATTTAAAAATGCACTTTTAACATCCATTTGATATAATTTAAATTTCATCATAGATGCATAAGCAAGAAGTAGGCGTATAACCTCTAACCTGACAACAGGAGCATAAGTTTCATCATAATCTATACCTTCCTCCTGACAATAGCCTTTTGCAACAAGTCTGACTTTATTCTTTGTTATGTTTCCATCTTCATCAAGCTTATTTCTGAATACCCATTTAGTTCCAATAACTTGATGTGACTCTTCTCTTGGGATTAATTCCCAGACTTGATTCCTTTCAAATTGGTTAAGTTCTTTTTGCATGGCTATGCACCATTGATCATCTTTAAGTGCTTCCTCAATGTTTTTAGGTTCAATCTGTGACACAAAAGCAACAGACATACAAAAATTTGTCATATTTCTAGTTCTTACCCCTTTTGAGATGTCACCTATGAT